CCCCAAAACCCCAAAACCCCAAAACCCCAAAACCCCAAAACCCCTAAATGGCGCTGAGATTGCTAAATAATAATCTAATTCAACATGAATTCATCCTTTTTCGACTACAATCAAGAGATCTCTATTCTATCGTAAGGCTCTATTATTTCCAAATTTCCTTTAATTCAGGTCTGTAAAAGCCAGCCTGGTTTATAAGCCCAGTGAAGAAGGTTTCAGATCTGAGACTATTCGTTGATATCTCCAACCTAATTAGTTCCGTTTTAGGAACTTCTTTATAATTCGTTGGAAAGTTGTCAGCTATTACTAATCCAAATGCTAATTTTGTCTTTAGAACTCCTTATGGCAGCAAAGAAGGCACTGAAAGGTATTTTCCAAGGTAAGCTAGGTTTGAAATTTGGCCTTCATGGGTTCCTCCAGACCAGAGATTATTAGAACTAGTCGGTAGTTTCTCCATAAGCTTTTCTGTCTTGATTAGATTAGTAATACAGCCAAGTAAAAATAAATCTAGAGATTATGGCTCAGATTGACTCTGCGGTATTCCTAAGTCTTTATTTTGCATAATCTAGACATTTTTCATTCGTTTAGAAGGTTGTGGCTGAAGAGTTATATAAGTACCTATTTCTCTGATAAATCCAGCGTCCTGATCATTCACTACAATTTTGAACTTCTGCTCATAATTAGAAGTTATGACCCAAAATTTGCTTATTGTCAGAATGAAAAAGTGAAAATTTCTATTGTTGTTCAGTTTCACTTAGCTGTGACTTAGTCTATTCTCCAGAAATATGGGGTTGAGGCAATTTTAGGATATCTACCTCATTTTATGAAGCTGAATTAGTTAATACTAAATATTAGACATCTCTCCGTCGTATTTGTTCAGTGATAAGATACTAAATTGTAGCTCAACTAGGTGGCTCGTTCAATTACACCCTCCTAAGCTGAATAATTTCTGCACTCAAAATGAGATTTTTCTGCTCAAAATTGAAGCATGGTTGAAATTAACCCTGGAGACTTATTTTAAATCAAGAAAAGATGCTCGCATTTTTAAGGACTTTCTGATGGCGATCAACTTTCCTTCATTGCTTCATCCGTACCAGCAACTGGTGGCAGCTTGAGTATCTCTTCAAAGAGGCTTGATTAACATTTTTATAGGAAGAAAAAGTCTCAAACTAAGGGTAAGATGCACTTTATGAAAAGATTCGTGCCAAAAGAACTCATTATGCAAACCACGACTAATTTACATGAGTTAATTTCGCTCCAATTTCTGATAGACTGTTGATTACTGTAACTCCTGCTTGAATGACAATCAGGTGTTCTGCACATAAATCTGTACACTACTAGTACCCAATCAGAATTAGGCTGAAGGCTTTTATAATTTTCTAAAGGAGGGTTTTTCAGCTATTTTCGTCATTCAAAATGCTAGCATTTTGGAATGCTCAAAATCTTACCAAATGTGTTATAGAAGATATGCTGCTCTCAAGTATTCCCTTTGCTCTACTACCTCAAGGCGATAAGAAGGTAAGCTAAGCCATCTTCCTCAGTGGATTAGCTTAACCCTGTTTGTAGAAGATTCTTACTAGAAGAAATGGCATGAAGGATTTGAAAACACAGCAAGTCCTTCATCAGTTCAAATGCGGCTCTAGGTCTCAAGAGCCCAGAAGAGCAGCTAGAGATCAGAGAAAGAGTAAGCGATTGGGTTTCATCACTTGTAATAGGTAAAATATCTGCCAAGAAGTTTATCCATGCATTTAATAAGGCTAAACTTAGGCAAAATAAGCAAGGATGTAAAGAGAAGAAGAACTCAAATGGTCTTAAGATCGCCAGTTTGACGACTGATACTTGTGGAAATGGAAGAGAGTATCAAAAGAATCTATCTAAAAATGAAGCTTCAAAGTTAAATTTTGATTCGATAAATTCAGAGTCCACAAAATTTGGATTGTTAGAATCAGGACATATAAAGCTTAATTCTAATACTCCTTCAAATATCCACCATGGCCAGAGACTTGGCTACCCCATCTCTGACTTCCAAACACCATCAAGGAACGAAAACCTCCCAGGACTATCAATTTTCACTGACACAAAGATCAAAACTCCACTTATGAAGATGGAGAGCTTTCGGATTACTAATTCGAAGGTGCTGTTAGCAAGACTTAGAGGGAAGTTAGGGAAGGCATCCCTTACAAGTCCTTTGAATATTCCTGAATCAAGGAGATCCAAAAAATGCGCGTCAGGTATGTTTAGATTTATTTTTACAATGAAATTAGGGAGTTTAGTTCTTTAGAACTCTTTATGACAAAATACTGATCTCTCTTCTTTTTAGAAGCTTATGATTTCCGGTTAGTTCATTGGCCAAAAAAGGTAATACTTTAGCATTGTTAAGACCTTGTATAATCTGAAGGGATCAAGATATTTTTAGTTAGCTTTACAAGTTAATGGTAGTAGAAATACCGATCTTTCATGAAAATATCTTCCAACTTTATCTAACAAAGGCCTGCCGATAACTGTTGTGAAGTTTAAAAGATTTGAATGTGCCTGTTTCTCACATTCCCTTTCTAATTTCCCAAGACTATATTCGAGCTGTGTTCTTAGCTAAATTTCCAAAGTGTTATAACTCACCAGATCAGTTACAAATTTTGAATATGAATATGTCTGGAATAAATTGCATAGCTAAGCCTTAGGTAAAGAGAGCCTTGACCCACAAAGACATCTTAAATACAAAGGATGGACTTGTAGTCCATCCTTGGTATCTTTCTGTATGGATATAAACGTATTTACATCTTGTGACTTAAACTCAACTTAAAATAACTTCTGAATCAGCCTGTGATACAGTTCAAAAGCTTAATGTATGTCTAGAATGCAAGGTTAGAAAGCCTGTAGCTGATAAATCAGATATTAAAGCTGAGAAAGCATACCAAAGAATGGAAAAACTCCTTGGGAAGTTCGATGAGTGAATTAGAGACGCTAATATCTATGCTGGGTAAGCAGTCTACTTTTCTAATATCTAGTGACTCTGCCCAAATCTCTCTTGAGCTTCGAAGGACTAAGGTCAGGAGGAAGATCCGTGCTTATAATGAAACCGTCAATGTGTAAATTTCAAACCGATCTGTTTGAATTGGGGTTTTGGGGTTTTGGGGTTTTGGGGTTTTGGGG